GTCACCCTGCACCACAGCTCCTGTCACCCTGCACCACAGCTCCTGTCACCCTGCACCACAGCTCCTGTCACCCTGCACCACAGCTCCTGTCACCCTGCACCACAGCTCCTGTCACCCTGCGCCACAGCTCCTGTCACCCTGCACCACAGCTGCTGTCACTCTGCACTACAGCTCCTGTCACCCTGCACCACAGCTCCTGTCACCCTGCACCACAGCTCCTGTCACCCTGCACCACAGCTCCTGTCACTCTGCACTACAGCTCCTGTCACCCTGCACCACAGCTCCTGTCACCCTGCACAACAGCTCCCGTCACCCTGCACCACAGCTGCTGTCACCCTGCGCCACAGCTCCTGTCACCCTGCACTACAGCTCCTGTCACCCTGCACCACAGCTCCTGTCACCCTGCACCACAGCCCCTGTCACCCTGCACCACAGCTCCCGTCACCCTGCACCACAGCTGCTGTCACCCTGCACTACAGCTCCTGTCACCCTGCACCACAGCTCCTGTCACCCTGCACCACAGCCCCTGTCACCCTGCACCACAGCTCCCGTCACCCTGCACCACAGCTCCCGTCACCCTGCACCACAGCTCCTGTCACCCTGCACTACAGCTCCTGTCACCCTGCGCCACAGCTCCTGTCACCCTGCGCCACAGCTCCTGTCACTCTGCACCACAGCTGCTGTCACCCTGCGCCACAGCTCCTGTCACCCTGCACCACAGCTCCTGTCACCCTGCACCACAGCTGCTGTCACTCTGCACCACAGCTCCTGTCACCCTGCACCACAGCTCCTGTCACCCTGCACCACAGCCCCTGTCACCCTGCACCACAGCTCCTGTCACCCTGCACCACAGCTCCTGTCACCCTGCACAACAGCTCCTGTCACCCTGCACCACAGCTCCTGTCACCCTGCACCACAGCTCCTGTCACCCTGCACCACAGCCCCTGTCACCCTGCACCACAGCTCCTGTCACCCTGCACCACAGCTCCTGTCACCCTGCACCACAGCTCCTGTCACCCTGCACCACAGCTGCTGTCACCCTGCACCACAGCTCCTGTCACCCTGCACCACAGCTCCTGTCACCCTGCACCACAGCCCCTGTCACCCTGCACCACAGCTCCTGTCACCCTGCACCACAGCTCCTGTCACCCTGCACAACAGCTCCTGTCACCCTGCACCACAGCTCCTGTCACCCTGCACTACAGCTCCTGTCACCCTGCACAACAGCTCCTGTCACCCTGCACCACAGCTCCTGTCACCCTGCACCACAGCTCCTGTCACTCTGCACTACAGCTCCTGTCACTCTGCACTACAGCTCCTGTCACCCTGCACTACAGCTCCTGTCACCCTGCACCACAGCTCCTGTCACCCTGCACTACAGCTCCTGTCACCCTGCACCACAGCTCCTGTCACCCTGCACCACAGCTCCTGTCACTCTGCACTACAGCTCCTGTCACTCTGCACTACAGCTCCTGTCACCCTGCACCACAGCTCCTGTCACCCTGCACTACAGCTCCTGTCACCCTGCACCACAGCTCCTGTCACCCTGCACCACAGCTCCTGTCACCCTGCACCACAGCTCCTGTCACTCTGCACTACAGCTCCTGTCACCCTGCACTACAGCTCCTGTCACCCTGCACCACAGCTCCTGTAACTCTGCACTACAGCTCCTGTCACCCTGCACTACAGCCCCTGTCACTCTGCACTACAGCTCCTGTCACCCTGCACCACAGCTCCTGTCACCCTGCACCACAGCTCCTGTCACCCTGCACCACAGCTCCTGTCACCCTGCACCACAGCTCCTGTCACCCTGCACCACAGCTCCTGTCACCCTGCACTACAGCTCCTGTCACCCTGCACCACAGCTGCTGTCACTCTGCACTACAGCTCCTGTCACCCTGCACAACAGCTCCTGTCACCCTGCACAACAGCTCCCGTCACCCTGCACCACAGCTCCTGTCACCCTGCACCACAGCTCCCGTCACTCTGCACCACAGCTCCTGTCACCCTGCACCACAGCTCCTGTCACCCTGCACCACAGCTCCTGTCACCCTGCACCACAGCTCCTGTCACCCTGCACCACAGCTCCTGTCACCCTGCACCACAGCTCCTGTCACCCTGCACCACAGCTCCTGTCACCCTGCGCCACAGCTCCTGTCACCCTGCACCACAGCTGCTGTCACTCTGCACTACAGCTCCTGTCACCCTGCACCACAGCTCCTGTCACCCTGCACCACAGCTCCTGTCACCCTGCACCACAGCTCCTGTCACTCTGCACTACAGCTCCTGTCACCCTGCACCACAGCTCCTGTCACCCTGCACTACAGCTCCTGTCACCCTGCACCACAGCTCCTGTCACTCTGCACCACAGCTCCTGTCACCCTGCGCCACAGCTCCTGTCACCCTGCACTACAGCTCCTGTCACTCTGCACCACAGCTGTTGTCACCCTGCACTACAGCTCCTGCCACTCTGCACCACAGCTGTTGTCACCCTGAACCACAGCTCCTGTCACCCTGCACCACAGCTCCTGCCACTCTGCACTACAGCTCCTGTCACCCTGCACCACAGCTCCTGTCACCCTGCACTACAGCTCACAGCCAAACTCTCTGCAGGAACGACTCACAACCGCCTCCGCTCTACAACGAGGGCTACGACTCTCACTGCCAGGCGTCGATTCTCACGTGACAGCCCCAGCGTCTGCAATCTTTCTCAAAGGTCCCCACCGCCTTCCGCCCGGCTTTCGAATAACACCGAGCTCGGCTCCGCACACCAGGAGTCACGGTCACGTGACGCCCGTGAAACATTGCGCACACGGCGTAAAGGACATCACTTCTATCGTTACGATTGCACCCGCCGTCGTGACACAGCGAGCCCCGACCACCCACTCGGCCGCTCGCGACGGCGCCCCCGAGCGCAGGCGTGGAATTTCCACGACCGCCGAGTGCCGGCTTTTTAGCAGGAGACACGCCGGCCCCCCGCCACCCTCCAACGCCCGACAGCTCTCGCCGGAGGAAATCTCCTCGACTCGAGATCTACGAGGATGAACGCAGATTTATTTTCTCGGGCGGCGGTTGCGGGGGGGGACGGGGGGAGCGGGGTGTAAGGGAGGCGGGGGGGGGCGATGAGGGGTGAGGAGGGGGAGGATTTTGGTTGGGGCGCAGCGAATCGACACGCAGGGAACGGGCGCGACTGCAGCGAGCGCCGGACGTCACCGGAATACAAATGACCGTGGCGGCAGCAGGGCACAGCTCCACGGCCGCAGACTCCCCCCCCCCCCCGCCGGTGGGGGCGGCCGTCGGGGGCCGTAGACTCCCGTGGTGCGACTGTGCCAGGGACACGGGGGGAGGAGGACGAGGAGGAGACGGAGGTTGGGGCTCGAATTTGCCCCTGGCAGCGTTCGCGGGGCATACACAAATACACAAATAATGCAGCTTAGTTATTCTCTCCCGACGTCAGCATCGATCCTCTTGGTGCAGCTAACAAATGTGCGTAATTTAGAGGCAGCATAGTTACTTTTATTTTGCCCTTTGCCTTCATTCTCCCGCACAAGTATGACCACTGATTGATTGTTGTCATTTTTCTTTAATTCAGAAATCACTTGTGAAGCAGATTCCATATTCAGTGAGCTCTGGCCTGATCAAATACAATGTTGACAAAAATTATGATGATGGTTGGCTCCGTACGGCGCCAAAGAAGTTCGACTTGCATACATGATGATGGCGATGATGCCAATGTTGGTGATGACGATGCTGGTTATGATGGTGACGACGAGAGTGATGATCACGATGCCACCCGTGCCAATGACGGCGACGGTTGCACCAAACAACGATGGCTATAATGCCGACTGTCAAAGCGCAACGGCGGCAATCATTATAACAGCGGCGGCATGGCCGAGAGTGATCACGAGGACACGTGCTCGTTAAAAAGAGAGAGACACACGCACGCGTTGATACGTAAGGGGGGGGGGGGCACGTAGGTTTACGGAAAACAAGTATAACCCGTAAAAACAAAGTTTTTCACTATAAATCCTTTATATGCGTGGCGGCTAGAGTCCTCTCGTCCTCTGGCTTGAGATGGCTGCCACCTATGGGTCAGATGATTGTCTGCCAGTATTAAGCAATTGGTAATTAAATATTTTACAAAAAATTCCCTAAACAGTGTAAAATTTGGGAAACATTTTTTCACGAAAATTAATTGTCACGCACAACGAGTCTGTGTGCAAAATGTCAGCTCGATTGGATCACGGAAAGTGGGTTAAAAAACGACCGAAAGATTTGCACGGTCCTAAGCAAGCAAGCACGCAAGCAAGCAAGCAAGCACGCAAGCAAGCAAGCAAGCACGCAAGCAAACAAGCAAGCACGCAAGCAAGCAAGCAAGCACGCGAACTTAATATAAAGGATTTAAAAAAGCAGTCACTGTTAAGGCCATCGCTCCGTGACCTGTGACCCCCACCTACATAGCACTCATGTGGCCGTAACCAAATCAGCAACAAGCCCCCCACCCACCCACCCACCGGCGACTTCACGAATTGCCACCGTTTTGAGGTTTGCGAGTCGCTTCGGGAGATTCCCCCCCACCCACCCCCTTCGGCGGCTCTCCAGTCGAGCCTCGATCGCAAACACGGCCGCTACTACGTTTGCAGAAATTGTCATCGATCATTTCATCACGCATGCAACGGTGGCATCGCTTATCGAGCGCGCAGGCGGTGCAACTGCACCGGCGACCGCGTGACTGGGGGGGCCCTGGCGCTGGGTTCGGGTTGGGGGGGGTGGAGGGTGGGGGATCTCCACGCCCCCCCCCCCCATTTCAATTCGTGAACCGCGCCAAACGCCAACAGCGCTAACGCCACCGAATGTATCGGATAGATCCTCCCATCGTCCAATCGTCTCGTGGGCGGACCCGCGGACGGGCGGGCGGGCGGGTGGGGGTTGGGGGGTGGGGGGTGGGGGCGCGCACCTCGAGCGACCCCCGCGGCGCTGCCGGCGCGGCGCGTCCTCACCACGTGTCGATGCAGACGCGGCACCTCCAACCGCGCTCGCTCTCGCTGCGCAGTGCGCAGCGGCTGCACACGTTGTAGCAGCAGTCGAGGCAGCGGTGGGCGGCGTTGAGCAGCAAGTGGAAGGCGACGCAGCAGCGGATGCAGTGGCGCTCGTTGAAGTTGTCTTGGCGCGACAGGATGACTCGCTTGCTCTCCTCCTCCACGAGACGCTGCTTCAGGTCGCTGACAAATATGATGATGATGATAACACAGAAAGAATAGTAACATTAATCACACACACACACTCACGGGTAAGCCTGCCTGTCTGTGTGCGCATGTGTGTGCGGGAGTGCAACGGTTTGGTGCGACTCTGCGCTAAGAACCCGATGACAATTATCTGAACCGGTCCTGAGCCTCCCATACGTAGTCTCGACCTCAAATGAGTACCCGGTGCGGTGTGTAAACATCGCCACTGGGGAGACAAAGGCGGCCGGGCCCCCTTCGTGTGTCGTACCACCCCTTTATAGGTGGCTACCCGCTAACTTGCCCCTACAGTCTGTTAAGGCTACACGGGGGATCTTTGTATTTGTGCGTGTTTGTTAAGTGTCGTAAATCCAGCCACCCAGTCCCTGTGGTGGGAAGCTTGATTCACAGTCGGAAGGTCGCAGGGTTCAAGTCCCGATCGTACGTCAGCCCGCTCCGTCAAGCGGGAATTTAAACCTTCGTCTTTCCGATGGTTAGTCAGGCGCTCTGCCACCGTCCCACCGATTATTTTTTTCATCATCATCACATTTGTTTATACAGCAAAGCCTCACCGAGTCTCAAGACTCTTTGTTAGGAGAGGTCCTGCCAAGTTTTCGCAGCAGCAAGTGGAGATGCTGGTTATTTTGTCGCATATCGATGCTTTTCAGCAAATATTTATATTACAATGAATGGTGTTTTTTTTAGCTATGTGGAGGATGCCAAGCAACCCGGAGGAATTCCAAGCAGAACACAGGTAGAACATACAAACTCCACACAGAGAGGCACCCAAGGCAGAAATCGAACCCAGGGCTTTCTTGCCGATGTGCAAGCGTCACCACTGTGACAAACCCGCCACCCATACACCATCAACATCAGCCATGATCTCGTCACTGCCGGATGAAGGCCACCCATTACAGATGGCAAAAAAAACTGTTACTACACAAAGTGCATATTTGTTTGGAATGTTACAAAAAAATATGCGCACTTAAATTGAGCAAAATAAATTGAAAGAGACGCACAGCCCATAAGATTGAAACGGTACACAGCAGGCCCCACCGTGAATAATGCGTCGGTGTCTTAATTAAGGCCTCCCGAATCTTAATTAACGTCTGCCTTGTAACTGCGGCATGTCACGCCTGGCTTGGGTTATGACCGGCTCGGTGATTAAGGGGTAATTACTCCGATTGTTTCTGAGCGTTGAGAAGGCTAAATTTATTACTCGCGGAAAATCACCTTGACCCCCCACCCCATCATCACTCTGACAAGGCTGCACCCGCAGGGCTCCGGGATGTAGAGCAGCATCACTGGGTAACGCAGATTAAGTGGCCAACTACTAAAGCATGGGAAGTCACCTCGCTCCATGGTCAATCCACTGTTGGATGAAGGTCTCCCCATGCCATTGTTGGTCGTAGGGCGACTTTTTGGCCGTGCTGGTCAGCGTGGGTTAGTAAAGTGGGGGGGAGGCGAGTCCCAGAAATCTATTCAACAATCACTCGTCACTGATGTTGGCCGTGCGAATCTAACTCGGTGTTCACCGGGCTCAAAATCTCAGTAGGTTAACCACTGTGCCACCACTCTACCCAATGTACATATAAGTGTGAATATATAATACATTAAGTTCTCATATAAGTAAGAGTTAGAAGAGCAATGCGATTATATTGACTGCCAGGCACAGTCTGGAGTTCACTTTCTATTGATAATGTGCTGTAGTTATACGTTATACATTCTGAAGTGACTCATTGCCACCACATTAATGTAAATAGAGGGGCTGGAGTATAATGTGGAAAGCAACACAGAGTCTCAACTGTACATTTAAAAGGATAAATAATTTTTAAAAAAATTGGCCAACTTCTTACCTATTGAGTATTTGTTATTATCCGTTGAAAGGAAACCAGATTACCCAGAGGAAACAAACGCATACGACCACGAGAGAATCATGTAAACAAAAAAAAATCTGCACGACTGGATCATAAACCTTATATTGATATGCCGCCATCCACTGAACCCTCCTCATAGCTCATTCAGTGGGGAGTCTCACAGCTCACGGTGATCTTCGCGTGACTCATCAACCCTGTGTCCCAAAAATGGCAGTATTGCACCGGTGGGTTTGTGAAAAAGTTACACATTTTTAAAATGCCACCTGCAGCGTGTGACTGACTGCGCCTCCCTCCCGCCGGAATATCATCCGTTTAACGTGGTGGGAATGACGTGCAAATTGCTTTGACTTGGATAAAATAACACCAACAACAAAACGCCGCCGTGCGCTTCATATCAGAAGAAATGAGGAAATAGGCAATCGCACAATGCAATTTGTGAGCCTGTGAGGCACGAATATTTTGACATTGTCAAGTTTTTAAGGCTTCGGCAAAAAAGAACGGCGACTGACAAAATCAACCTTCCAGCAATGAAGCAGGAGACCACTACCTCGCCGTGGCCGCCCCAATCGCGCCGCGAGACGCAATCGATCCTGGGCGGTCAGGCCGAGAGGTGACAGACGGTCGAGATGAAGTATTCGTCGCGAGAAATACCTCACCTGGGAGTACCGAGTGGGGGGGAAAAAAACGCGGCAAACGTGAAATCGTCGCAGAGACGCCTGCGGTCGATTTTACAGCGAACGCCGAGGAGTGACGACAAATGAGAATATTTATTTATACCGCAGGAAGAATCCGATGAGCCCCAAAGCTCTTCTTCACACATGTCCAGCAGGGGCAGGTCAGAACGTTACAACAAGAAACAATAAAAAAATGCTGCCCTCTCTGAACACAGCTGGAGTTGGTGGGTCACACATTGACATTGCATGTGTGTTAAAACACTCAACCTGCTGGGCTATGAGATGGCCAGCATGAGGCAATACAGCGGGAAGGATTTTGACGTGCACGCGTGTGTACATCTTCTTCTTCTATCTTCTATAAAAGTCAAAAACTATGTGTGGGTTTGTAGCGGGGTTGGTGTGGTCGCGTGCATGGTTTACGTAAAAAAAGAAAAAAATCCAGGTACCACGCCGTAAGCCCCACGGTGAGAAAGAGCAATTCCTTTTTCACATCCGTCAACTTTTAAATTGTTTAATTACCGATTTTGTGCGATTTCTGTGCGCTGCTTATTTATTTATGACGCATGCACGACTATACCAACTCATGTGCCTTTGGTGTGGAGGGCGGCCAATGCCAAGTCGCACGCCTTCGGTGGGAGTGAGGGGGACATTTTCGTTCGCGTAAAAAATCCTATAAAAATTTACTAAACGCTCAAGGAAATTCTTCACTGTCTCATGTCCACCCCACCCCTATGCGTGCAATTATTACTGATGTAGGGCTGTTACAGAGGGTCTGTTTGTGTAGGGCTGTTTACATAGGGGCTAATGGAAAACAGACACAGTGGGCGGGGTCTCCGTGAGCACACGGGGTGGTGCCCGCAACGACGTCCGTACTGGACGGCGTGAGGGGGGTTTCGATCCTCTAACGGGGTATAAAAAGGGTTGAGCCAGAGAGCTCGGGGCTCAGTCTTAGAGTAGTTAAGGGAAGAGAGAAGACCAGCCAGATAGGCCCTGGACTCCCCCTGGGACGCCGCCCTTGTAAGGGCAGTGCAGGCTGGAGCCAGTGGCGTGGTCCCGGAACCAGAGTCAGACCTCTGGGATTCCGGGTACCGTAGCCCGACTAACCAGTGTCGGGCCAGACAGCCTCCCCTAGCCCGTTAGCGGAGGACTCAGCTAGGAAGGCTAGCTAGGGGTGAATTCCCAGTTGTACGGGTGAGGGGGCCGATACATCCCTCTAGTACTGTAAGCCCTTTGTGTAAATAAATACGTGTGCCTTACCCCGTTGTCCCGCGTCTTCAACAACACTTCATCTGGCGTCAGAAGAACCAAGAACATGGACACGCGCCAAACAGCTCGAGCCAGGGAACAGCGGGCGGAGGACGCCGCCGAAATTGCCGAGCCCGAGATGGCTCTACTAGACGACGTGCAGCCGGGGCCGGATGCGGGCTTACCGGAGCATCGCCATGAAGAGGAGCAGCGCGGAGACGACCTGAGGCTGGCTCATGAGAGGCTGGCGGAACTGCTCTACGCCGCTGCCGCTGCGCTGGGGGACATCACACGGCTGGCGGCTGGTGGTCCACCGCGGGGCGAGAGGAACCGGCGTGTGGAGCGCCTTCCCGCCATTTCTGAAGATTTAAATTTTGAAATTCCCGCCATCGACGCAGCGACCGCTAGGGGCGTGGCCAACCTCAACCTGGGGTCCGACATCGGCCGCGCTGGGGCTGCTGCATCAACGACGGAGGAGGGCGCGTCATCAAAGCTGCGACAGGCGATGCCATCTGCCATTCGCGCCGAGACGCAGCCGAGTCGGGGAGGCAGCAGTCCACGGGACTCCACGGCAGCCGCTGCGCTACACCAAAGGCTGCCCCCGCTTAAAGAATTCGTGGGCGCAGAGGGCGACTGGAGCGGCTTTCAAAGACGCTTCCTCGCCCACCAGGAGATGGCTAAATGGACGGACGAAGAAGCTCTCAGCGCCCTGCCGGCGCTCCTGGACGGCGACGCGCTTGCCGCCCTAACATCGGCACCAAAGGAAAGGCGCTCCACGTTACCGATGGCGCTGCAGCTGCTGGGAGGGGTCTACGGACCGTCGGCGGAATGCAGACAAGAGTTCTACGACCGCAAGCGGGGAGAGAAGGAGTCGCCCTTAGCGTACCGAACGAGCCTCCTGGCGATGGCCAAGTCGGCCTTCCCCCGGATGGATGATGACGGCATCGACGCTATGGTAACGGAGAAGATACTCCTCCTGGCCGACGATCTAGACATCGCTGTCGTCGCACAGGAGGACGCGGAAATGACATCGCTCCAGGCGGCGCGGCTCCTCCACGCAAACCTCCTGTCGCTTCGACGCAAAGCCAGCAGGGCATCGGCGGGGCGTGCGGTGGCTGCAGCCACCCTTCCGACGGAGGAACTCTACGCCGTCGACCACCGACGGCAACAGGCGGCGAGTGCACGGCCGGGCCAGGACGGGTCA